CGTTCATACAATGTGGTCGTGTTTTAATAATTAATGCAATATGTAAATAATATAAAGAATAAGTGAAATGAGCATGTAAAGAGCACTTGAAAAAAGACTGCTTCTTTTTGCAATTTTCAGGTATTAATCATAAAAAAGATTATTTAAAAAGATATCGTGAGATAGCGCAATGCAATCTCTAAATTAAACTTTTCGATCAAGAGTTCGATATAAAAACTTCTAGATTACTATAATCTTCAGAAAATAAAAACTTCGTGTATGCAAGCAAGATTTAAAAACAGAATTTCCTTCGGCAGTCTTCTTGCAATTGCGATATGGATCAGGATGTAATATTCTACACATAAAAGCGGATGTAATAACGCATTCAGTGCAATAGATAGAACGCAAGCCTTTATAAAATTAATCTAATTCGACTTCAAATATGTATTATAATAGATATACTTCAGTTTTCTCAACGAGCATGAGGGATGAAGGTATCAAGCATTGAAAATATAATTGCAGTTACGGATGTCGTAAACGCTACACGATACTTTCAGAAGAAAGAGAAAGAGAAAAGAGAATGGTTGAGAATGTAAAGAAAAAACATTGGAGATAGGATTGAAAAAAGTAATATGTATGTTTCTCTACAGAAATAGGCGCTGCAAATAGAAAATGTTACAAAATGTATAGTACCACGTATTTGTATATAATGTATATATGCATATATATAATCTTATCCTTAAAAGTATCGAATTACAGAAGTACATTCGTAAACATAATAGTACATTCGTAAACATAGTAGTACTTTGAAAAATCGTTAATCAATTACGTTAAGTAATAATCATAAAGATGTTCTCGTGGTTGATTGGTGGAGAATAACGACATATGTGTGTGTGTACGTATATATGTATGTGTGTGTATGTGTGTGTGTGCGTGCGTGCGTGTGCGTGTGTGTGGTGTAATAGTAATAGCGTTTTCTAATATAATACAACATTAATATTACTAATAATAATGATATAACAACGATACGACTAATAATATAAGTATACGAATAGTATCACAAAATAATTATTACACAAGTAAAACAGACGTATCTTGCTTATACAGATCTTACACATGTCTCAAACATTGTAACAATATCTTCAAGTAGTCGCAATTGTATAAATTATTTACATGCAACGAGAATGATATGAGGAGTTTAAAATAAAATTTTAAAAAAAGAACGGAGAAAGAGGGGATAAAGAAAACGTAACGGGGCTTCGGTATTTGCTTATATTCGTTCGAGATATCGAAAAAAGATATGAAAGATATGAAAAAAATGAATTACTTCGTCAAAGTCATAATACATTCAACATCCATGCTTTTCAGAAAGTCAAAGTACAAATCTCAATGCTACGATTACAAAAATGAGATAAATCAAAGAGGGACTTGTTTCGCGTTTATAGACCCCATAAGAGTGTTCTAGACCCAGCTGAACATTTGCCTATGGATTCTTTGATCGATTTGAAATAAATTTTCCCTCAGCCAATATTTTAAACGAGATAATTATTTGTCGCATAAATTTTCAATTTCCAATATTAAATAATGATATAACACATTATATTTGATTTTATTTTTTATATCTGTAACTGCTGGTTCCCAACTTACACATCTGTGTGTTGCGTTAAAATCTACTTAAAAATAAATAATAAATAAAATTTTTAATAAGAATTCAATTACGCCTAAAGTTTGATTTCCGAAGATATCAGTTTTTTGTTATTAAAGAAAAATCGACTCTGAATTAACGATATTAAAGAAATTATAAACAGGAAATGAACTGTCAAGTCTAGTACACTCTGTGTGCTACACCGAATTAGTCTGTCAAAATTAGTTCTTAAGAAAATACATCGATATAATTAATCGGCTACGTATGTACAAAATTGTGCGATGAACACTTAATTCTAGCTTCGGGGAGAGTGTGGGGGAAATACACTTCTCCGAAAAATTTACTCGCGATTATACCACGCGAATTCCTGGCCATTCGACAAACTAATTCATCTATTTTTCACGAGCACGAGGCAAAGAAAACGCTCGTAAAAATCTTTATCGTTATATATATATATATATCTTACTTTTATTTAAACTAACGATTTTATATGTAATAAATATAATTCTGTTTATGACGCATTCACGACGGAACATATGGAGCGCGTTCCATTTTTTATTAACTAACCGTTAGAAATAATCGCCTTATTAAAATCATGAAAGAAACCCTTCTCACTCTTTTCATTTCCTACTTTTTTCTTTCTTTTCCTTTGAGACTTATAATAAGGTATATATATACCAAGTTAAAGTCAGACTCCGTGCGAAAAGTAAAACGCGCAGTTACTTTACCGTATCACAAGTCTAGCCTTGTACAAAAAAAGAATAATCCGACAATGTAATACTAATAATGCTATTGCGTGCTACCGCATTATAATCGAATTACCAATATCTATAATTTCGCCTAGTTAATATAATGAAAAAGAATCGTAGACCTCGACAGTTAATTACGTAATAACTACATGTTTTTGACCCCGAAGCCAGTTGGGTGTTTTATGTATGTATGTATGTATAGTATGTATGTGTGAGCGTGAGTG